GCCTCAGCTTACTCTTAGGGGGGAGGTAGTTGGGGTGTGTGACACCACCTTTGTTGTCGCCGCCGTTCTAGCCCTCCACCTTCGATGTTGCTGTTGTTCCATCCCTCTATCTTTGCTGCCATCGTTGTTCCATCCTTCATGCTTGGCTGACGCCATCCAAAAACCCCTCTAACCGCTATTTTTTATGTTTTCATTCCAATTAACTCTACGCTGCTGTCTAGGACAGCAAGTATCTGATGTTTCCCTGATGTACCAATCCTTCCACTCCACCTCCCTACCTTTCTGCCACATTTCCAAGCGCCTAACAACTACCACCTCCACTCTAGATTCAACCTAGTCACGTGTCGTATTTATTGGTAATTCTTATTTCCTTGTCTTATTGTACTTCCTCGTCTGAATTCAACAATACTATTTGATTTTTTTAATTGTTGTTTGGGTAACTCCAATATCAATTGGTATTATATCCAACATCCCCATTCTTACCTAAGAGTTACCAAAATCCGTTACCACATAACCCAAACTCCACCCAAAAACACTTCCTCTTGCTGATTTTTTAAATCCGCCACCCAATTTTTTTTTCCATCCGAACTCACCCTTAGACACGCTCTTTCCTCAAACTTAAACTCTAGTCACGCCATCGCGGAGACACTTATTAGAAACCTGATTGGGAGAAAATGAAGCAATGCTGCTTATTAGAAATTCACAAAGTGATGTCCGATAACTTTTTATGAAAAATGTGCAGCTGGAAATCCTCGAACTTCAATAGAGGCTTGCCGTCCTCGAGAGGAGATAATCCGGAAGGGTCATCCGTAGCATCAACGGTAATTTGTCAGATCGAAAGGATGAAGTGAATCACTTTCACTAGAGTAATTTCTAGTAATGAAGAACCAATGCTCTCGAGATTTAACATGGAATGTCCGAGGATAAGCCATAATTTTGGAGTGCAAGTTGACTTGCCATATTTTGACGGCTACATGAATGCAGACGATTTCATTGAGTGGTTCTAGGCAATGGAACGTGCTTTTGAGTACCAAGCATCTCACCGGACATAATGTTAAATCTTGCCGCCACCAAGTTAAAGAAGAGTACGTTGATCTGATGGGAAAAATTGAAGCACCTACATCAGTGAGAAGGGAAAAATTAAGCCATCACCTGATTTAAGATAAAACGAGAGATGCAGTAGAAGTACCTACCAATTCATTACAGACAAGCCATGTTCTCGAGTTAACATTACCAAGTGACCACCACATCTTACAGACAAAGTTCAATCTCAGGATTAAGCAATAATAGTACACCTAGTCTAGCATCCAAGGTGACACCGTTTGAGGAGAAATTAATTCAGAGTTGAGAATAGATGAAACCAATTAGGAATTCCAAACCCGTTTCTGCGCATAAAGTACATCAACTACCATGGTTTGGGCACAATGCATCTGATCACCCAAATAAGAGTATGTTCTATTTCACTGAAGATGAAGCAGTTGAAGAAATGGACAAGGATAAGATAGATACTGAAAAAGTTGAAGACTTAAATGAGGAGTACCCAACTTTCAACTGATGAGGGAGCAATGCACGCCATTCAAGCTGAGCTCATGTTACAACATGAGTAACATTGGTTGTTCAAGACGGTCATGAATTTGAGAAATCGACACCGGATGCATGAAAACCCTAGATAAGAGAATTTTAGAATTTTCAGACATATGACCTACCTCCTAAGCTACCACTACTTAGGGAGGTTCAACATGTCATATATAGATGAGAAACTTTTGAGCTACTTCTGGAAGACCATGTTGAGTCATTTGAGTGTTAAATTTAGTCCAGCAGTGTACACACCAATAGATTGTCAGATAAAGAGGATAAACCACATTGTTAGAAATCGTTTTTGAAGTTTTGTGAGAAAGAACATCCTATAATGAAATTTAGGTACTTCTAGAAAAGAAGGGACCCCTCTATAGCGGTTGTTATCGAGAGTTGTCCAATATCCATATATGTCATTCCAGAGTTAGTTTCTCTAGACAAATGACTTGAGAGTTTATTTGAGAGAATTCTATTTGTGACAGAGGCGAATTGCATACTTAATGACTCAAGAGTTTCTTTGTGAGAATTCACAGGTATATGCAGCTCCAGTTCAAGATATGCCAAAGGAAGATTGACACTTATTCTATCAGGATGTGCTTTGGAATGACAATGCCTACATGATTGACTTTTCAGGATGTTACAATATTTCTGCTACCTTCAATGTGCTTAACCTAACTACATACTATGGGGAGATAATAGCTTCAACTGAGGTCGAAGGTCCCCACAACCTCGGGAGACTGGCGTGGAGCGGCAATGAGACGCGACTGAACCGGTCCAAGGATTTTAGGCCGACCGACCCTTTTTTGCACCTAGGGTTTTCCGCCAATGGGAGTGGGGCCCTCTCTAGTTATCATAGCACCATATATTTGTTTTCAGGATTTTTTAGGGTTCTGTTATTGTGATGATTCTTTTTGAGACAGCCGGCGGAGTCTCAGGGTTTTCCTTCTAGGGCTGCATCTAAGGGTCGGGTGGTGCTCCGGTTACATCTTACTCCCGAGATGGTGAGTATCCTAGCCCCCCATTCTTCTACATCCTTCCCACATCGTTAACTGTAACTTGTCCTTGCTGCAGCGGCCAAAAAACAGCGCCTGCAGTAGTTTTCCTGCAGCTTTCCCAATGTTCCAGCCTTCATCTTTGCTGCCACTGCTGTTGATACCCTCCACCATCGCTGCCGTTGCTGTTCATTCCCTCCATCTTTGTAGACATTGTTGTACCAGCCTTCCTGCATGGCTGTTCTCACCAAGAAACCCCACCCAACCGCTGTTTTCTGTGCTGCCATCCCGCTTACCTATGCGAGGCCATCCATGACAGTAAGTTCCTGCTGTAACTGCCACTACTCCAACTCCCTACCATACCGCCACCTTTCCAAGCCCCTAAAAGCCACCAGGCGCACCACCACCACCCTAGATTCAACCTAGTCGCATCTCGTGAGTCGTATTTGTTGTAATTTTCTATTTGGGTTTGTCTAATTGTAATTCCCTGTTTGAATTCAGCAATACTATTTGATTTTCTATTTTTGTTTGGGTAACTGGTATCAGTGGATTACTTTGTTTGGGGTGGCTTCCTGGTTTTTTCCCATTTCTCTGATTTTTTTATATTAAATCTTTTGTTCTGTGTTTTCTTAGTTTGTGCTCTTATATTCTAAGCTTTGCTTTCGGATCTTTTGAATTAATTTCCGTGATTTATTCATCTCTCTAAACAGACTCCTCTAAATTTAGTGATCTTGGCCTGCAGCTTGCTTGTATTTATTTCTCCTTTTATTTTTCCATATTACACTCTCTGCACATTCATCTTTGGAAGATCTATCCAGTTTCTTCTTATGTTTTAGTTCACCTACTTCTTTTCATGCGTTTAAAACGAGTGTGCTATAGAGATGCTTTTTTTTTTTCGGATAATTATTATAGACCACCAGAAATATTGAAATTTACTTACTGCCAAGATGTTGTAGGGCGTGTTAAGTCATGGATTTTCTGATGTGGTTTCATTATCAGACGCTGAATCATAAATAGAGCTCACAAAATGTACCAGTAAAGTACTATTATTTTCTAAAAATAATTCCCTACCTCTTTGAAAAGTGAAAACTTTAGGAAACTTAATTAAAATGTTTATTTAGTCGCTTTTACTATAAATAACACGTAGAAATGGAAGAGTGTGATTGCAGAAGCCTCCGAATCATCATATAAGGAAGCTTTAAATCAGAGTGTGTATTGCTGGAGTCTTTTGTTTTAGCTTTGGTTTTATTTGAACAAGTCAGTCTCATTTTATATTGCTTAGTTATTGACGCTTTATATATATATATATATATTGCATTCAACTCAGCTCTTATGTATTTATATATCTAACACCTAAACTACAATTTTTATATATATGCCATTTTAACTATGCATTATAAAGTGAATTTTACTTTTTTTTTTTTTTAGTTAAAATAGTGATATTTTTTATGTGATACGAAAGATTGGAATAATATAAATATAAAAAGCATACCCCAAGCGTTAGATTTGTAAATACATTGGAATTGAGTGGTATGCACGTAAATGCCGCCATATAATTAGGGTTGTAAATGAGCCGAACTTGGCTCGTGTTCGGCTTCGTTCGAAATTGGTTCGTGAACAATGTGTTTGTGTTCGACTAAATTGACTCATTAGAATATAAAATTGTTATAATAATTAATTTTTAAATAAAATTAATTATTTAAAAAAAAACTGTTGGTATAAAAATTAATTAATTATAGTTTATAATATTTAATTTTATGAATACTTATTGTTTGTGTGTGTGTGTGTGTGTGGGTGGTTGTGTGGGTGTGGGGGGGGGGGTGGG